TCGGGCCGCGCCGCCTCCGCCGTGCCGCCGCTCCCCGGTAAGGCCTGACCGGGGCCGGGCTCGGAGCGCGGTCCCCACGCCTTTGTGTCCGGTACCGGAGGGGCTCGGGCGGCTGCAGCGCAGGTACGGCCGGGCCCGTCGGTCGGGGCCCGGTGCCGGTGCCYGCCTAGGCCGCGGTGGGCCGGGGCTCGGGGCCTGGCCGGCTCGACCCCCGAGTTGCACCGGGGAGCGGCGGAAGCGTGGCCCGGGTGCACCGGGGAGGGTGGAGGGGGGTTTGTCCCCGCGTGGTCGTTGGACCCCCGCGGGGGCGCGGGCCGGGCCTCTCCCCGGCTCCGGAGCCTTTCCCGGGAGGGCCCGAATCCCCCCCGGTCCCGGAGCCTTTCCGGGGAGGGCCCGAATCTCTCCGGGCTCACCGGGAACCGGAGCGGGGGGTGCTGGGTGGGTGCTGGGTGGGACGCGACGCTTCTACCCCGCGGCCGGGACCCTGCCGGGGGCTCTCTCCGCCCTTCCTGCGCCGTCTCGGGWTTTTGGGGGGCTGGCGCTGCCCCGGTGCGTCCCCCCCTCTCCGGTGCTTCGGGCTTTGGGTTGGGGGCTCCCCGGTGCCCGCGGGGTCCCTCCGGATCTCCCCAACCCCCCGTGTGTGGCTCGTGGTCGGATTTACGGTTCCTTTCACTGTCTCCGCGGTGCCGGGGCTCCCCCGGGTTTTTGGGGTGCACGTGAAGCAGCAGTGGGAGGGGGCGGCTGCAGATCAGGGCWTGGCTCTCTCTTAGATTTGGGCGTCGTGTTTTGGGGTGAGTGTTCACCCCGCAGCCCTCCCGGGACCCCYTGTGCTGTGCATGATCCGTGCTGGGCATGGGGAAATTGAGGCACAGACAGGTGCTGGTGGYGTGGACCCCATTTTCTGCTGCACCCCAAATTCCTCCCAAAGATCTCCTACATGGAAGGCACTGGGGGGTCCCCACTTCACTGTGTGTGTTTCTGGGAGGGTCTTGGGGGCTTTTCGGGGGTCCTGGTGACTCCCTGGGGTGCTGGTGTACGGTAAAGCCGGGAATACTGACCCCTCTTCCTCCACGGTTTAATCGAGGTCACTGGAGGGTTTTGGTTGCCCCAGATATGTTTGGGGGTCACTGCCTGGATTTGGGGGGGAGTTGGTGGGCAGAGGGTGATGGGTGAGGCAAGGGGGGTCTCCTGGACCCCTGGGAGCAGGGACCCACCCCCACTACTGGGGGACAATCCCAAACTTGCCTTGGGGGAAGTGATGGGAAGARGCTGCTCTGTCCCTCCGAGGGTCACAGGGGGTTGCAGGGGAACGGGGAAAAGCGGCGCCACATAATCCCTGTGCTGACCAATGTCCCCCCCGCAGCTGTGGCCCCCCAGGGACGCCAAAGGCAGGATGGACGAACAGAAGGCGCCCAGCGAGGAGAAGGACACGGCCGCAGCAGGTGAGCCAGGGCAGGACTTTTGGGGTCCTGGCCCTGTTTCCCTTGCRGTGGTGACACCCCCTCTCCCCGCAGCCGATGGCGCCGTGGCCTCGGAGGAGATGGGCAGCGCCGAGGGGGACCCCCTGAAACCCCCCGAAGGAGCCTCTGCGGGGCCGGAGCCAGAGAGCACGGGCAYGGAGGGACCTCCCGAGGCTGGCAGGTGAGGATGGGAGGACTTGGGGGTGGTGTGGAGTTATTGGGGGGGTTCTAAACATCCCTGACACCCCCTGTTTGCCTTTCCCAGCCCATTGGGCCGTCGCTGCGCCCTCTGCAACTGTGGGGACTGGAGCCTACACGGGCAGCGGGAGCTGCAGCGCTTCGAGCCGGTGCCTGACTGGCCTGAGCGGCTGGTGGGCCACGAGCCCCCTGATGGATCTGGCCAGCCTCCCCCGGGGCCCAACCAGCTCCCCCCAGAACCAGAGCTGGCAGGCGACAGCCTGGCACAGATCGGCTTCTCCGAGGGGGTGACTCCTGCRCAGCTCTTCGAGCCGACAGGTGAGTGTGGTCACAGCACAGGGGTCCCCATGGTGCCACCTGGGTGTCCCCAAGCTGGCCCTGACACCTCCTCCCTGCAGGGCACTGCTGGGTGCACCACTGGTGTGCGGCCTGGGCGGCCGGTGCAGAGCCGGAGGTGGCTGGCGTGGCCAGAGCTGTTTTCTCAGGGATCTCACAGGTGAGCAGATCCTGAGGGGTCGTGGGGGATGGCAGGGGCTCGGTTTGACCCCTCTGCAGCAGCACTGACCCCCTCGGGCACYTCTACCCTCAGAAATGTGAACGCTGCGGGCGGGTGGGGGCCACCATCCCGTGCCGGGCGGCTGCCGGTTGCTCCCGCTTCTACCACTTCCCCTGCGCCGCCGCCAGCGGCTGCTTCCAGTCCATGAAGACCCTGCGGCTGCTCTGCCCCGAGCACGTGGCTGAGGCTGTCGACATGGGTATGTGGRGCTGGAGACACCACTCCTGGGTGCTGGGACCCTCCTGTCTCAGTGAGGTGTCCCAGAGGGGTAGAACCCCACAAGCGGGCGGCCCTGACCCCGTTTTCTCCTGGCTGACAGAGGATGCGCGGTGCTCGGTGTGCAACGGGCTGGGCGACCTGCAGGACCTGGTGTTCTGCACTGGCTGTGGGCAGCATTTCCACGGGGCTTGCCTGGACATCTCCTTGACGCCCTGCAAGCGCTCGGGCTGGCAGTGCCCAGAGTGCAAAGTGTGCCAAACCTGCAGGTGAGCCCCAATTCCCACAGTGGGGAGGGGGATGCATGCCCACGGAGGGGTCTTGGCACTCACTTGCTTCTTCACCCCACAGGCAGCGCGGCCAGGACWCTGCCATGCTGGTGTGCGAGGCGTGTGACAAGGGCTACCACACCTTCTGCATGGAGCCGGCCATCCAGGGCGTCCCCAGCAGCTCCTGGAAGTGCAAGGTGTGTCCTGCTCTGGCTCGGGGGTACAGAGTGCCTGTCCCCCACTGCACCCCCTGACCCATCTCTGCTTCTTCCCTCAGAACTGCTGGGTCTGCTCAGACTGTGGCCGGCGCCCCATGGGGCTGGACTCCAACTGCCAGTGGTCCCCGGGGTCCGCGGTGTGCGGGGATTGTCAGCAGCGCCGTGCCACGGCCGATGCCCCCACTGTGCCAGAGCACACGCCCCAGCTTGACCCACCCAGCCAGACGTGAGTGGGAATGGGGGTGCTGGTTTGAAATGGGGGTCAGACCCTTTGTGGGTGGGGGGATGTGTCCCACAGCCCTGGGGATGGGCTGGCCTGAGTCCTGCCCCCTCACCCAGTCTCCCCCATCCCAGGTTGGAGTCTCCTGGCCCCAATGAACCGATGGATACGCCCATGCCCCCGCCTGAGCTGGAGCCTGTGGGGGGTGATGAGGAAACGCAGCCCCTGCCCCCGCCTGAGCTGGAGCCTGTGGGGGGTGATGAGGAAACGCAGCCCCT